AGTAAAGAGATATACAGAGTGAAACTGAATGTGATAAAAAGATGTAAAAAGTGTAACTATAACTAGTAAAGAGATATACAGAGTGAAACTGAATGTGATAAAGAGATGTAAAAAGTGTAACTATAACTAGTAAAGAGATATATAGAGTGAAACTGAATGTGATAAAGAGATGTAAAAAGTGCAACTGTTACTAATAGACAGCCTTGCTGGGACATTTCTCTGCCCTAAAAACACAAAGCTCTATCTCTGCTCAGCACCTAGTTTTTAGAAATATGATGTAAAAAATGTTGAGTTTCACAACTGTGTCAAGCCTTTTCGAAAGCGATTCTTCGAATGTCTTAACTCCGAATTATCTTACTATTTTGATAGAACAGACAGAACATTTGGTGTCTGACCTCACGGTCTTGCTTAGTAACTCAAAGCGGCCAAAAATGTCGGATAGAACTTTGTAATTCTAGGGTAGTGATCTCTCTCTCCCCCCAGGCTCTCCTTCCCAGCCGCCGCCACGTGCCCCACAAAGAGAAAGCCATCTCCATCTGGAAGGCATTCATGATTCCGGTAAGTTATCATAGTAGAAAGTGCGGGTGGTTGGTAGGTGCTCTGGTATGATTTGCGTAGACTATGTGAGTGGTTCGTGGGTTCTCTGATGTTGTTTGCTCCTTCTTTCCTATCAAACATCTATCATCCTTACCTCTCCTCCTTCTTTTTTTTGTGTTTGTTACTGTCTTGTGACACCTAATCTTTGGCACTTGTTTGTACTACCTAATTGTGTTGCATGTGCCGTAAGACTCTTTCTAATACTAAACTGATATAAAGTGAATAAATAAAAATTTATTTACTCCCCGCCAGAGTGGATTTTTAAAATTGGGTAGGTAACATCAAAATTGACTCCTACCTAAAAACTGAAGCCTATCTAGTCAGTATAAATATTAAAGAGTACCTTTGAAAACAGCACATGGCTGCCCCTCAGGCAAGGGATGATTTTATTTTCAATACAGATAAAACAGCCATGTTTGTAAAATCTACTTCACTGTTTGATGAAGATTTTAGTTATTCCTCGATTTCTAGCTGGTGGTATGTGGAGAACAAAATGCTGTTCCTGTATTGTTCTTAATCCTGTAGTTATTCTATATCTCCCCCCCACCCCACCCTCGCCCCCACCCAAAATGATATTCCGGTATTGTTATTAATCATGTTGTTATTCTCTCTCTCCACTCCCACCCTCACACCACAACTAGGGAGTCCTGGAGTTTTCCCTGTGTCTATTTTTTGCCAAGCTGGTCTCCTACACCTTCCTCTACTGGCTGCCCAACTACATCTCAGTCAGCGAGAGTAAGTTTCTTAAAACACACATTAAAAAAAACAACATATCACGATGCGGAGGAATCAGGCGCTTGTCAATTTTTGGGCAAGTGGATTTATTGGTATCATTAGAAAGCTTATTAATTTGCCTTGATTTCGATGAAAATTAATACCCATCTATCAAATAGAAATACAGATTATTTGCGATTGAAGGAAGTGGCGAGGTGGGGGGGGGGGGTGTTGCCTGGTTGCAGAGGTAGAATTGGCAAGAAAATAGCCGCCAAAGTTTGGTAACCTCAATAGCTTGAGAGTCCTTGAAAACGGAAAATTTACATATTTTGTGCCTTTAATCAAAATTTTTCAGTAAAATATACCTTGAAATGTGATTTCAATTATATAAAAGGTGCTGAGACAAAAAAACAATTAGTTAAAAATTGCCAAACTGGTGGGAAAATGCGTGTTTACTCGGTTTCATTACTTTAAAGACCTCCTGATTTCACTATGATGTCTCACAAATGAAGCATGGTCTAACTTATCCAAGATGACCACCCATTGCCAAAAAGAAAAGCAGCCATCTTATCTTAGACAGGCTCTCCTCTTGGACAGTGTCATTATAGGCACAAAGCAGAGGGGGCAGGGGGTGGAGGTGGGGAAGAGAGTTGGAAGTAGCCGTTTGTGTAGATGGTTGTCTTGAATTGGTTAGCAGAGCAGGTTCAACTGTACTTCTGAGGTTGAATCAAAAAGTTATAATAATAATAATAATAATAATAATCACAATAATAAATGGCATTTATATAACACTAAACCCCGATTAAAGTACACAGGCTGCAAGCGTTTGACAATACTATACAACAATAACATAAAACATGGGTTCTGACCTAAAGAAAATCTCTCTAAATATTCAATTCATCTTATCTATATAATATACAAAGGTAGTTGTGATATTGTAAAAACTTTTCATGCCTGGACATTTTTAGTCTATCTAAATATTCTCCCCAAGACTGTTTGCAAGATAGCAGGCTGCACAGCCAGTTTTGAGTGGCACTCCAGTACTCAACTTGTGGTGTGCTTTACAGCTCTGAATTGACAGCTTTTTTTTAGGTCCTGAATACCATTTGACTACCGATGCTACGTTATAGTATTAGTAATTAATATCATCCTCTTTATCATCATCATCGTCATCATCATCGTCATCGTTATCATTATAATTATTATCATCGTCATCATGGTAATCTTCATCATCATTGTTTGGAAAGCAGAGTAGGAGGGAGAGTCTTGTTTGATTACATTAACATTTAAAATGTTTAAAATTTGTT